AATTTTTCAGTGAAATTTTCCCTTTGCTATGTTTTTACTGTCTAAAAACCTAAACGTTTTTATAAGATAACCTCAAACTATCTGATACTCCAAATGGTTACTTCATGTTGCATGTTGAACTTTGTATTTCACAGACTCGAAACTGAAATTTTTCGATTTTGTTTTCTTAAATAACTGTGTTTGTTTGATCACTGTTCTTTTAATTGAAAATATCTGTTGTAAATTAAAAACATATTTCATTACAACACCTAATGTTAAATGGATTAAAAAGCACAAAAAAATTCAATGAGGTTTTCAATTACCTTTGTTTATTTTTTTGAAAGCCCGGCAAATATTATAAAAAAATAAGCTTAAACTGTCCGATGCCAAATCTAATCACTCCGTGTTTTATGACAAAAAATCTATTTTTATAATCTCAGAAATCATTTAAGCTAAATGTTTGATTATAATTTTTTGTGAAACAAAAATTTATTGCACGTAGAAAAGTAGTTTGACTTGAGTAGATGAGTAAAAGAAAACGGATATCACCAAGTGTCAACAAAACTGGCTATGTTTATCAGAAATTGCTTTGGATTTTTTATTATGGTTCTTAGAGTCCCATCTGTTGCAGTGTCCCAATATATGAGTCCAAAATTTTTTATATTGGTATGTGCTATTGGAAAATAACCAAAATCGATACAGAAAACATCAATTACTCAACTATTTAATCAGTTTGATTGCATATCTCTCCGTGTTATATTTTCTCCTGTAAATAGGCAAAGGAATGTTATGAGTATGAACTTTTTTCAAGTATCCGTATCATTGTAATGTGTTTGAATGTTTATTATTTTTGTTGTACGTCCATTTGTTTGCATGTATATCTGTTCAAATGTATGTTCGTATGTATTATGCATGTGAAAAAGGGTACAAGTACCTAATTTGTGTAGGTTTGTCTGCTAAACTCTACAAGGATCACACCTGTATGATGTATGTATGCCTGCACGCCTGTATGTATGTTTAATTTGAGGATTACTGTCTGTATGTTTTATGTAAAATTTGTAGACAGTTAAATATATTTATGCGGTACATCATCCATAAAAATAATAGTGTTTTTTTTTAAAGTGTTTCAAAGCATATAAAGATGGGTAACTAAACTGGAATCAAATCCTTAACTAAAAATCTAGGTTACTCTGCTAGGAAATTCAAAATTTTTCACCAGGGGCTCTAGATGTTCGATAAATATTTCTGTTTATACGTGCCCATGCGATGTTTGTTAATTTGTTGTTCATGTATGAATGATGGCTCGATGCGATGTATGTATGATCGGGACGAATCGAAAAATTGTATGTGCATATGGATGAGTAGATGATGCATGTGATCACCAAACCACTGTGTATTTTTTGTTTCTATGGTAATTTGTACAAGTAGCTAGTCATTTATGCGTCTGATGAGCCCAAATTAGACATATAATTTTAACTAAAGTCGTAAAACTTTAATTTGTTTCTGAAATGTCTGGAAGATGCAAACTCTAAAGACTCAGTTTTTTCATTACAAACTATTAATGTACATCACACACCAGATACATAATGTGTAAGTAAGAATTTTTCCACGTATGTGAATGTGATCAAAACTGTCATGAAGTTTTTTTTTGAGTGTGTGTGTGTGTGTGCTTTTTAATGTAAGTAGGATCTCATTACATTATTGATAAAAGTGATATCTTGGTAAATTACCATTATCTGAGTTTCAAATTATCTAAACACTTCTTAAAAAACTCTTCGAATGAAATTTAAAAAAAAACTCGTTTTGAGATAAATCCTTAAATAATGTTTTCACAGTTAGAATATTGCAACTGCCTTCTTGGTCGGTTTCTCATATCGTAAAACCAAGGTTAGCGGTCTTAACAGTCAAAACTGTGAAAATTTTATTAAAAAAATTTAGTTTTCTTGAGATAACTTGAATTGCAGAGAAGAGAAATGAAAAAGATAACATTCATGACTGTCAAAACTATGAAAAAGAAAATTAAACGAATAATTTTTCAACAATTTTGTTTTTAACAGTTTCATTCAAAAAGAATTGAAGTAAATTCTATTAATATTTTGAACAAAAGTGAAAATTATGTAAATTGTATTATTGCTTAACTTCCTTGATTTTTAAATTTCAAGTTTTTTACCAACCACGTTCCTCAAGTCTGCAAAACATCTCAGCGTGATCTCATCAATTTGCTATGTGTTTTTTCATACCTGTTAAAGTTCGAGAGAAGGACTAAAACATTGTTCAAAAGTTTACTCAGAAAGTCACAGTGTAAACAAAAAGACAGCAAAGGAATAAAAAATGGGAGAAAAGTGTATATTATTAGGTTGGTAGACATTATAAAAGCAAGAACAAAGTTAAAAAATTTTATACAGTGCACTAAATATGCACACTGAGGATTTCTAATAAGCAGTTAATGAACGCAACAACACATGGCCAAAAATTTTGGTTTTTGATCTGAAACACTAATGACCGATCTATCGTAAATTCTGAAAGCTACAAGCTAAACATTGAGTCTTCGAGTGTTAACAACTAATTCGAGTGTTAAATTATTTATTTACTTCCAATGAAGTTACACGCATGCCTGCGTATGAAGTCAAAGTCAACCAACAGAAATTTTCATGATTCAAATATTTGCAAAAAAATCACACTTGAAAGGAAAATTATTATATACATCGAAAAAAGAGAGGATAGCGGAAATTAGTCATCAGACACTTAAACAAATGTTCTAGGCGATGAACTTTGACAGTTTAACTGCTTGTAAATTACTCAAAAAATAAAGTTTTTTTTAATTTGAGATTATCTTCATGCTGTCAACCTTCAATACTTCCCATCTACAAACTATTCAGGGGGTAAATTTGATAAACAAAGTTGGTGTTTGGCATATGAACTTTTAAATTTGTTAAAACAACCATTAGTTTGCTGAGCATTTTCCCAAATCTGAGTTTCTAATTTCCGGGTTTTGTAGTAAAAACAAGAACTGATTTAAGTTGCACAACACAAACACATCATTTGAATAAAATCAAAAAAACTTCTCAAAGTTTTAGAATCCCAATTTGTTGTTGTACAAGAAACCTGCAGTCAGTATTCCGGGGAAAAATACATTTCTAGCTTTATAACACATTGAAGCATAGCCGGTCGGTTTAGCAGGAAGTAGCTAAGCCGACGTTGCTCGTCACAACGCTCCGCAGGAACGCCTGCCGCTGGTTTAGTCAATGTTTCACAGTCTTAACCGTTTTAACATTGAAAGTTGTTGGAGCAAACTGAATGCCAAGTAGTAAATCGAAACAAATAAGCATTAAACTATCTATCTACTAAGTTTATAGTTTCTAATTCTTTAAAAATGCTTCAAGTTTTCATGTATTTTCTTCAAAATTAATTGAATCAATCTCGTTCTCGCTTAAGTTGCTGTTTTGCCTGATTAACGCGTCTAATTTAAGCGAAAACAAGGTTGGTTTAACTAATTTTTTAAAAATACTTGAGAATTGAAGCATTTTTGAAGCATATTGATGGCTGATAGTGTGAGGAAAATCTCAAAATGGAACAAAAAACAATTTTTGAATAAATTTACAAGCGTTCAATTTGTCAAATTTACTCACCTAGAATATTTGTGTTGTTATGTGATGAGTACTTTGCTCATAAATTTACGACGTAAAAAGATAAGGATCTAGTTCTTCAAAAACTGAAAGTAGAATTTCTTTTATTTCACCATTTCCTCGTTTTTCGATGTATATAATAACTTTCCATTCAAATTTGATTTTTTTGCAAATTTTTTAAACCTTGAACACTTCTGTTGATTTACTTCAACTTCATACGCAGTGATGCGTGTAACTTCATTGGAAGTAAATAAATAATTTAACACTCGAATTAGTTGTTCGCACTCAAAGACTCAATGTTTAGCTTGTAGTTTTCAGATTATACGATAATTCGGTCATTAGAACAACACTCGAACTAGTTGTTCACACTCGAAGACTCAACGTTTAGCTTGTAGTTTTCAGAATATAGGATTTGCTATGTTTTTTTTTGCGTTCCTCAACTGCCTGTTTGAAATCCTCAGTATGCATCTATGGTGCAGTGTATATAATGATTTAGGTTTGTTCTTGCTTTTATAATGGCTACCAACCTCTTAATATACTCTTTTCTCCCATTTTTCATTCATTTGCTGTCACTTTTTATACATTGTGACTTTCTGAGTAGATTTTTGAACAAGTTTTTCATCATTCTCTCAAATCTTAACAATTATGCAAAAACATACAGCATTTTGATGATATAACGCTGAGTTATTTTTACAAACTTCAGAAACGTGACCGCTTAAAAACAGCAATTTAGAAATCAAAGAAGTTAATCATTAATTCAATTTATATAGTTTTCACTTTTGTTACAATATTTAATGGAACTTACTTCATTTCTTTTTGAATGAAACTGTTGAAATAAAAATTGTTAAAAGATTGGTCATTTAAATTTTTTTTTCATAATTTTTACAGTCGAGACTGTTATCTTTGTAAATTTCTCTTCTCTGCATTTCACGTTAGCTCAAGAAATCTCAAGTTTTCTGAGCAAAAAATTCACAGTTTTGACTGTTAAGACCGCTAACCTTGATTTCCGATAAGAGATAATGACCAAGAAAATAGTCTCAACAGTCAAAACTGTGAAAACACTTTTTAAGGATTTGTCTCATAACTGTTTTTTTAACAGTTTCATTCAAAATATTTTCTTAAGAAGTTTTCAGATAACTTGAAACTCAGATGAAGGTTATCTACCACGATATCTTAAGAGTTCTTTGGAAAAAAAATCGACTGAGTGAAACATAATCAAAAGGCTCAACGATACTGCATTTCCTAAGTTATTGGGGAAAAACTTTTTTTTAAAATCGCAAAATTTTTCCTCAAGTTGGATCATTTTTGTTGTCTTACTTTACAATACTTAAAAAATAGGTCATATAAAATAAGTTTTAAATTGAATCTAACTGTTCAGATTTAATTTTGTTTTAGCCTCTAGTCCTCGATTTTGAGAAAGAGTTCATTGAAAATTGTCTGGAAGGCCTAACGGGTGTAGTTGTCTACTGTGCGTCCCAGAGGAGTTTCGAAGATATGCAGCTCAAAGCGATAGAAACTGATGTCTATTTGTTGTTTGTCGGATACATTGTGGTAATTGCATATATCATGATTACGACAGGCAGATACAATTGCAGAGACCAAAAGGTATATCTGATTGAAAAACTCTTCAAACCAAATAAAATCGCCCAAAATTATTATTCCTAAATTTTATCAGACCAAGAGTATAATTATGTCTTATGGACTGTTACTTTCTGACACTTAAAATACCAAAAAAAATGAGATGTCTTGTCACACTTTGGTTATTCTGAAAACAACATTTCACCGCGAAACAAAAGTTTGTAGCGATTCTTTCATTTAAGATGAAATATTCCTGAGGTAGGCAAACAATATTTTTTTTTCAAATAAATCCTGAAACTAAAGCAATATGCTGATATTTTGGTGGTTAAAACAATGTGCATCATGAAACAACGCTAATCGAGAAGAAATGAAAAAAGTGAAAATTTTTATATTCGGTTTTTTCCCATCCGCCAATGTTTTCAACGATTATAAAATATAAACAATTCAGAGGCAAAAAAAGCGTTTATAATAGATGATAGTCGATTATAACGAATTTTTTGTGCAAAAAATTTGAAAATTTCAGAATTTTTTCGAAGTTTCAAAGATTCGATTTCAGCCTTTGACTTCTCAAATTTGTGTTCTCTATTTTGTTTGACTGTCATAGGTATGGTTAGGGACAGCTGCTCTTTTGTGTGTTGGTCTATCTTTCGGCATCGCAATTGGCGGGGGATCTGCTTTTGGATTCGAATACGGACCTCTTCACAGCGTATTGCCATTTTTACTTCTTGGTAATATAAAAACTCTCAGTGCCCTCATTAAAAAATATCTTCGTTTTTTTTTCATTAATTACCGTATTTGGTATGTTTTTAGAGATAGTTATTAGGATGTTAAAAGCGAAAAAAAGTTAGTTTGGAACGATCAACTGGTTTTAACTGAGTATCATCCAGGAGTATGGTTGAAACATTCTATCAGTAAGTGTTGCTAATAAAAACGATTTCGAAGGATTTAAGCAAACCATTGCAATGTCTTGCTTACTGCTTCTTATTTACAATATTCAACAAAATTTTTGATGAGAGAATTTTTAACTCTTTTTTTGGTATATTTTTGAGTCTCAAGGAATCCATGCCGGAAGAGTTTTAAGTTTTTGATACAGGAATTGGAGTTGATGACATGTTTGTGTATGTATCCGCTTGGGACAACTTGACTCCATCGGAAAACAATCTTCTTGCTGTGTTTTAACTGACCTGTGATTTGCCCTTAGAAATAAGAACTGATTCGTTCCCTATTCAAAAGAGGTCCCCGAGACGCTATATGGTTTTCGAAAAATATCCTTACAGAAAGATGCAGAATCCGCAACGTTGTTTTTGATCTTCTTTGCTCTTTTGAATTTCACCGACATATAGCTAATACAAACTATTGCTCAAAATCGCTCCAAAAACAGGCAGCTTAGAAATGTTGTAAGTGAAATCTACTTACAATTTGGAACATTTGGAATCCAGAAGCAAACGGACACTAAACGTGGGCTATTCCAGTGCAAAGTTTGCCCTTGTAACGATTATAAATAAAAAAAACGGCAATTAGAGCGACGAAAAACAATTTTATAAGTATTATCAATTGGTTTTCATTTTCTTAGATAATTGTTTTGTTACTCACAACTGGCGTGTTTTGTGTGTCTGGATACGGAGTCAGCCAGTTAGAATCTAACATCAACCCAGACTGGTTCATACCTGAGAATAATTACTTTCACGATTACCTTTCCACAGGACGGTGAAAACTGCTTTGTCTATATAGGTACTTGTATTTTCTCTCAGTTAAACAACTGGGTCTTTTCTGCTATCTACGGTCAAGTTTTCATCATTTACCAAGTCATCATTTTGTTCAAACTAATATTTAGAATTTAATTTATATTCTTTTGTATATTCGCGAACTTTGAACTTTGAAAATTATGTAATTATCAAAAAGTTTTGCGATGATAAACGATATTCAAACTTGGCCACAATGTTCTAAAAAGAAGTACTGACAATACTGCTCGTATATCGGGTCAAAACATAGAATTATCGGTTGCAAATATGAATTAATAAGAACGACAATCAAAGAAAACTTTGAGTAGCGTGGGGAAGTAATATGACTAAAAAATTGCCAGGTTTCATGCCGGGAAAAGTTTGATAATAATTCGTCTTACGCGTTCAGCACCATACATTGTTCTTTCAACTATTAAACCAGCAGAAGCAAACAGGTTGGGGAACAAGGGGAACACAGGTTAGTTTTACTCTCAAAAGCACTTCCGAAACTTGGTCTAAATAAAACATCATCCCGCAAATATATTCCTCAACTATTTCTTAAGTCGGAACAGTCATAAAATTCCAGAATTTTTGTTGTAGCTTTTTCTGAAAAGTTAACCGCTTCATTTTTGTAAACAGATCTTAAAAATTCTATTTCAAGAAAAAAGCAAAGTTCTGATGTATGTTTTTTGGTTCTTTAGATTTTCTGCTGAATCTTTGAAACAAAAAAAAAACATCATTTGGGAGATTACGGATTGGAGTCTGCAAAGCAGAAACGATTTTAAGTTTTGCCGCGAAATGTTTAGGGAAAACTTTTATCGAATTTTGGTTTTGATTGTGTTTTTGACAAAGCACTAGTTTTAGACTCTGTGACTTTTTTAAATTGGTCATTGAAACTTTTTTTCGTTGGCCATTTGATTTCTCAGACAAGTTTTAATACAAATTTAGGAGCGCTCAATGAAAAAATCAAAATGCATTATGAACTTCCCGGGTTGACAAAAAACGCTTTTCATACTATTTCATGATGACCAAAAAAAAAATATGAAAAAAATATGACAAGCATTTTTTCCTTACTATGGAATTGTATGATAAGCATTTTTCCATAAATGAAAAGATCAAAAAAAAAATTTGTTTTGAAATTTGGTGTTTCATCCGAAACACTAACCCTGGATTTTTTGTTATACAAAAACCCAGGGTGTAACTGGCAATTACCACGCAGATAAACGGCAATTGGTGATTTTTGCCACTTAGGTTATTTTTTACATTTTCACGTGAATTTATATAACAAAAACGTAATTTTTTGTAAATGGCTAGATAATTTTTGGTAGCTGAAAAAAAAGCTTGTTTTTTTACAAATTTGCTTTTATCTTAGCAAACAAATAAAAAAATAATAAGCGTGTTTGCAGAAAAAAAAAGACTTTCTTGGGAATTTTGACTTTTTTGGGTGAAAAGTTCACCCTGGACCACGTTATAAACACAAAAAGTCAAATTTTTCATGCAAATTTTTTTTGTAAAAATTTATATTTGTGCACAAAAACAGGTTTGCAACCAAAAGAAAGATTAAAATTTTTTTAACCTCAAATTTGTGTTTTTGCTGATGGAAAAATGCATATCATACAATTTCCATATATGAAAATCATATGATAAGCATTTTTTTGATCAAAATTAAAATCTTGTTTTTGAGAGTCATCGATTATTTCGATTATATCAGGTAGAAGTTTTTCAGTTGTCTGGAAATTTTAAAAAAAGAATATCGAACACTAAATTTAATTTGAACTGTGAATGTTGCGATAGTTTAGATGGCCGGCAAGAAGAAAAAAGTATATGCTTGAAACTCGACTCCTTGTTGTTTATAAATTAATCCGGCACCAATTTTAACGTTTTCAGAGTTTTGCCTTCAAGGTTTTGTCTTAGTCATCAAATTCCTAACTTTAAATGTTTCAGACGCGTATCTCTAAGATCACTTTTTTAATGAGGTTATCATGTGTTGGTCTCAGATGGTGTTACCTGAAATCATAATCCTTCAACTTGCGTAAACTTTTTTAGGCAATATTGACTACTACAACAAAGCTGATGAGCTGATCTTGAACATGGAGCAACTAGAACAGCAATTTGGAATCGTCCGGGATTCTGCTGATTTTTGGCTGGAATCATACAAAAACTGGCTGAATGATTCTGGGACAAACCTTACAGCTAACGGTGAGTTTTCGCATAAATTTTCCGAGCATTAGTTTTTTCAATGGTTGAGATCAAAATTAGCTTTTTCGTTTACATGACATTAAACAACATAATGATTTTAGAGAAATATCAAACCTTTATAACTTTTGCGCTAGTTAACGGCTTGGCAAAAAACGCTTTCGTTTCATCCCTAAGCAAATCAATTAAGAGCTTAGTTTTTCTTATAGGTTGGCCCGAAACACAGTCAGAGTTCTTCTCACAGTTGGTGGATTTCATTAACACTGAGTATGGCAATGCGTACATTTCAAATGTGAAATTTCATGCAAATAACAGTATCAAGGTGAGAAGAAATTAATCTAATTTTTGCTCTAGTTTGTTCCAGCATTGGGCAGTAACAGCAAAAATAACCCTGTAGTAAAAGCGGTGGAAATGAAAAAACCAAGCAAATTCAAATTGGATATTGAGAAAAAATTAGATTAAAAATTTTGATTGAAACCTTTTGAAAAATATTTCAGTATTCACGGTACCGCTACTCGATCCAACATTATGAGAAGTCTTCTGACAGAATTCGTATCATGGACATTGCCAGAGAGACTGTGGACAAGCTGAGTAATATATCTCAATCAGAGGCATTCACTGTACATGACATTTTTTTCATATTCGGCGAAGGTGAAAAGGCGAGTGATAATTAGACTGCTATAATTTCCTCGAATCCGACTTTTATGCAAAGGGGTTTTTTTGCTGCATGTGAAAATTGCCTATGCATAGTCATCATGCTAATAATGTTATATAGAGGATAGAAATTTTCCACACGAAGCCATTTATAAGACAATATTTAACAACGACTCCTTTCTAGGATTGGCTTGAAAAAATTATTGACTGCGAATCAAGAGACAAGTCTTTAAACAACAAAAAAAATTGTCAGAATGATCAAAAATGAAAGAAAAAACAAAGAGTAAAGAGAGTGTCCTTGTTGCAAAATCCGTTTACTATTCACAAAATACAGTTTGGCCTCGTTATAAAAAATTTACTGATCTATTAGATCTATTACTGATCTATTATAAAAAATTATAAGGTAAGCTTTCATTTTTAACTTTGAATTGCCAAATCAGAGTTTGTTTGGAAACTGAAAAGAGGATTATTACATTCAATTTAGATAATATGCCATCAATTTTTGAACGTTTTTGTATCAAATCGTTTTTTTTTTTTCAATTAGGATGATTTAATTTAGCACACAAAAAAAACTATGTTTGTGTCCAGATTACATAGACGCTACTACCCGCATCAATTCTAATGTTTCTTCATAGTCAATCTCTCCAAAATGACAATACATTTTTACCAATTATAAGTGATAGATTACGAGGCCAAACTGTGCACTGAATAGGCGCATAATTTTTTTGTCTGTATTTTCCTGGATTCCAGAGACAAATCTTCAAACATAATTTAAAATGTAGGTGGATTCCACTTACGAAATTTCAGTGGATTCCGCGTACAAATACCTTTAAGGTAATTTTTGTCGGCACATTCATTTTGTTGCGGATTCCGCAACGAGCGAATATAGGTAGTTGTTCCGGATTCCGCAAATGTATGCAGACTCCACAAATATAAGTGAATTCCGCAAGTTAATGCGGATTTCGCTAAAAGTTTTCGAATTCTGCTTGCAATTTGCGAATTCCGCCTACAATTTTCGAATTCCGCTTACAATTTGCGGATTCCACTTACAGATTCGGATTCCGCGACAGCTTAGGTTTATTTAACACATAGATTATTATTTGTTCGTAGATCTCAAACTGGTTCGGGATTCTACACATTTGTTGCGGATTCCGCAAAAATGCTTGTTTTTTGAGCAATGTTGAGCACAACAGTGTTTTAGCCATTTATCCGTGGAATCCAAAACAGCATAACTGACAATATTGGATTATAATTGATTTTAGTTTCTCACAAAATTGACAATTAAATTATTTCAATTCTTATCGTGTTCCATTTTTCACAACCATAATCAGTTTTAATTGGATCACTTTGTCTCGGATTTCTAACAAAAAAGATCAATAATTGTTGTTGAGCTTAGATAGAAAGGTATGTAGAAAGTTTGCAATTCATAGATTTTTAAGATGTGGGAATTGTTCTTCAATTTTCTTCACCCCTTTTTTAAATACAAACATTTCTATTGTTCTTTTTCAAAAATGTTCTAGGCGTTGTTACACTTCTGTCTTCACACTACCCACAAAAACTACTCTATTTTGAAAAAAAAAAACTTTTTTGTTTTTTTTTAAATGATTCTGGTCTGAACATTCTGAGCTACTTGCACAGCGACCGGCTGACTTTGTCTTTATTCGCTAGCAACACAGTATCTTTCAAAGACAATATTCAAGGCTAAAAATCAAAATTAATAACTTTATTCAATAATTATTAGTGTAATAATCACTTTAAGGTTTAAAAATGATTATACTATTTGGCTTGGATTCTTCAATTAATTTTTTTTCAAAGTTTGCTTTAAAAAATTATATAGTTGTTGGTAGATTATGCTAGATGAGCTGATCCGCAATATGCTTCTGGCTTTTGCAGCTGCGCTATTGGTGAACTTGCTTCTCTTGGCTAATATAGTCACGTGTCTACTTGTTCTGATGTGTGTCGTGATGACTATGGTAAGTTTGCTAACGCGCGCAAAAGATACCTATCGGTGGTTAAAAAATTTTTCAGACAAACCAAGTTTGCTATCATACTTACATACAGTTAGAAAATGTTTGGCATTTTTTTGGAAAATCTTTCTTAACATATCTAGCAAAACCACCAGCACGATTTTAGCTCAAAATTAGTTGAGTAATTATAAATAAGAAAAACTTGTTCTTAATAAAGATTTTGTTCTATGTGTAGGTTGACACAGCTGGCTTGATGTATTTCTGGGGCACGGATGTGAATTTTATAACTGCTACATACATTATTCTTTCTATTGGTTTGGCTGTTGATTATTCCGCTCATATTGGGCTGGCTTTCATGAAAAACACAGGATTGAGAAAAGGTAAAAATTAAAAACATGTGATTAATGGTCAGCTTACTTTATTTTGAGCACCCAAATAACAAGTTTTCCATCTGGAAAATAAAAATCATGATTAAATATTTTTTGAGCAATGTGGTGCTGGAAAATTTAATCGCTTATTTTTTGCGACAGAAGCCGGAAAAATTCACAGAAGTCTGCATTGCAAGGGCAACCCGACAAAACTGCATAGTTTTAAGAATATCGTCTTAGCAAAATAAGGATTTCAATCATTATTGATAAAACCTTGTGCAGGTGGAGTTCTAACTGATTATGTCGAGAACATAGGTATTGCAATCAGGTGAAAAGAAATGGGGCCCCGAGAACTTTTTCTTGCAAAAACACGAGAGTTTAATGTGGCTTTCGAATATCATCACTTGCTTGTCTCGTGTTAATTACGCCTTTTATGTTCAGACGTAAGCCTGTCATGAATTATCATTTGCAGAATTTCGCGACCGACAGTTGGTTTTTCGAGGCATCCAGTCAAAATTTTAAAATCTAAAATTGAACATTCTTTTTTCAAAGTACATTGAATATTGAACTATGAAAATGGCGATTTTATCACAGTGCGAATATGGCCCGACTGGAAATGGGTAGATGTCCGTATTTTATGACCAGAATTTTGCCATCCAAGTTTAGGTTTTCCCGATTTTGAGCTCCAAAAAACTTTGCGCAAACAGTGCGGATCTGACGCGTATTGACAAGTTTCGAAGTCCTATTTCTAAGTTTGGACGGCTCCGATCGGTTTTTAGGCTTTTGATGATTTTCGAGAAAGAAAAACAAAAAAAAACAGATTTTTTGCCACTAGGGCGATCACTCCGCAACCATCTTTTATTGTAGAATCTGAAATAGTGATAAAATTTGATAGATTAAGCCTTTCAATTCTTGGAAGCTGATGTTATTGTTTGTCGATAACCTAAACAAAATGAGTTTTTAAGAAGCAAGATATCAGTTATAATGTAAAATATCTTTCAGACTAATTTTTTCATCAAAAAAGTTTTCAGTGTGCTCACTGTCGTATTAATTTCCTATAGATGTAGAATTTTCATAGTTTCAGTTTTTCTCCGAGTTTTCTTAATGATCTTGTGTAGATTTCAGTCAAGATTTTTGAACACCTATTTTTTGCTGAGAAGCTCCAATTTAGTTTTTTATTTCAATGCAACTTTAACTCATAAAAGACGCAAAAAACGTTCATTTTACTCAAAATAGGCTGAAATTAAATCACTTTTGAGTTTTTGATCTAATTGACAAGGACTAAAAAAATAATGCAGGCTTCGACAAGTTTTTCTGAAGATATTGCATCTCAAACTGATGCTTATTAATGTCGAAGAAGAAAAAACAATAAAAAGAACCACACGGTTTGGGCGTTTTTTGAAAATTTGTGACCAAAAATTTGTAATCTCGGCGACCTTCTTATCTCAACTTACATATGTTTTGGCGCCAACGCCGCCCTAAGAAAATTTTATGGCACTTCTCTAAAAAAAACTGAATTTTTTGAAAAAGCAATGGACAGAAAAAGTACTACTCAAGGTAACTTGAAAACTCAATTTTGCCAGCGAAAACTGCTAAAAATTTGCAGATTGCTCTTTTTATTTGTTTCTGTCAGTTTCTTTTTCATGTAGCCTATGTAAACGTTTACAGAGCGCATTCAGAAATGCCTGATGGAGATCGGAAGGGCAGTTTTCAACGGGGGATTCAGCAATTGTCTTGCTTTGGTTCCTCTCGCGTTTTGCACATCATATGCCTTCACAACATTTTTCCAGGTAACGAAGTTAAAATGCAAACAAGAAAAAAGTGGTTGAAAAATTGCGAAAATGATTATTTATGATTATTTTTCACAATTTACTTTTTCTGGAAAAAAAACCTTTAAACTGTGCAAATATTGTGAAAATGCGCCGCAATGCAAATTGAATCGATGAAGAAGTATGGTACTTTAAGATGCACCGAGTTTTTATGTTTCAATTTATCCGATCGATCAGTTTATTCAATCGTTCCCGTTTATCCAATCAGCAAATGAAAAAAGCATGGTATCAATTCTCAGAATTACTTTAACCGTATAAAATTTGAAATTAAAATTTAGGGTTGTTTGTATTCTGTCAAAAAAGTTTCTTTTCCCTAAATGGGTGTCTCTCAATTGAACTTTGATTTCAAATTCGGCATTTTAATTCTTGTTTTAACGTATATTCCATCAGTTTTTTGTTTAAAGGAACACTTTGGAAACTTCGGTCATTATCAATTGAACCGTCATAAGCTTTGCGTATTGATTGTTTCAGACTTTCATGTTGGTGTCTATCCTCGCGTTATACCACGGCCTAATATTCTTACCAGTGGCTCTCAGCATCATTGGACCACCTCCCTATCTCTCGGCCTCCAAGGAGAACACAGAGGTTTGCTCTTTGAATAATTTGTACACGTGAACAACCAATATCATTCAAGGATTCAATGAAAAACAAGGTCAATGAAAACGAACGAGAAAAAAAATGTTTTCACCAACCAGATTTGTCTCAGCAAGTTTTAAAACAAAAACTATGACAAATTTGGTTGATGAAAACAATTTTTCTAGCTTTTTGCTTTTCATTGACTCAGTTCAAGTTAGTTATGTAGTGTTCTATTCACTTTTTGTAGGTTTGCAAGGAGCATTCGAATCATCGTGCTATGCCAGCCGAGAAACAGGTTAGTCAGAGATGCTAAATGTTTTGTAATGGAAAGATGCGATATTTTGTAGGTCTGTGAAAGAGGTTACTGACAAATTTTGAGCTCCAATGAAAGTTTGGAGCATCCAGCAGCTTGTAAATTATCAATCGTTATGTAAGAAAAATGGGTTCAGAATGAATGTATTTTTAGAGACTGTCAAGTAAGCTACAGATTCGATCATGCTGTTTTGATGAACAAAAAGAAAAAAAGTTGTGGCCAATTAATAATAGTTAGAAAATAAGTCACTTACTTAAGTGATTTTTGTGCGGTTAAAACAAATTTTTTTTTAAATAGTCAGCTTAGGTTGACAACAATTTTCTAGCTTGAAGCAGCAATGCTATTTTGGAGCAAAAAAATATATATCGCTCAATACGCATTTTTAGAAGGAGATGAAGACAGTTAATTTGGGAAGGACTTCAAAAAAATGTTTTCATTTGGATCTGATCTTAGTAATCCGTTCTAAACTGAAATGTGTTTTTAGAAAGAAAACAACAAACCTCACGAAGCCTGGACAGTTGCAGTGAACGAAAAACCATAACCAACAAAAATGACGTTCAGATTTAGTGGCATATTCTGGAAACAATTTAAGTACAGTTTTTAACTCATTCTGCCCAAAATTGCTTATTATTTACTAATTAAACGGTTTATTCTAATAATTTTTTAGCTGCATGTTCAAAATCAGTCAGTTAGAGTTGAGTGTCTTCATCAAGTTGAATTTTGTCTGAAAGCTTGGTAGAAACAAAAAAGGTCGTTTTTTATCCTTACGAGGTCAAACTGTGCAACGATGTGCGCACATTTTTGTGTCTGTATGTTACTGGATTCCGGAGACGAATCTTTAGAAACGTTAAAAGTTTGTAGGAACGATCAAGGGAAATGAAAAAACAAAGGAAGAACAGAGTTAGCGCCATTGCTGCGTATTTCGCGCTTACAATTCACAAAATGCACAGTTTGGCCTCGTAGTGATAGAATTTCGCCAATGTAGGTTTTCCAAAACTAAATTTTAACTTGAGTTTATCAAAACACTTGTCTTTACAAATAACCTATGAGCCAACAAGTTTACCGGTGCACTTCACAGTGCGTACCCACAGAGCTGCATTCCCCGAAAGCAGAAAAAAACTTGAAAAACTTTAAGGTAATCAGCAACAAAACAGAACATAAAAAAGAGGCAAAGTTGTCACAAAATTAGGACTATTCTTCGTATTTTTTTTTGAAATTAAGCAAAGAAAACTTCCAATAATTCAAAGCAACTTCTTTATATAACAGCTTCGCTCTTATGAACTAGTCAACAAAAAAGGGCTATCCTAGAACAAAATTACACTTTGTTTTAGCAATTCGAAGCATCGATATATTTGTGCTTGAATTGATTGAATTTATCAAAACAATTGTCCCCCAAACAAATTTTTACATCAATAAAAATTCCTCTTCACTTCACTGTGCGTTTCCACAGAGCCGCATTCCCGGATAGCAGAAAAACATAACTTGTTTAGGTAATTAGCAAAAACAAAACACAAATTTAGAGGCAATTTGTCACAGAAGTTGGACTACTTTAATTCATACAATCAAATTATCTTTTTTTTTCGAAACTATTGTACTGCAAGCTTCTCAATGAAAGATTGTGAACCTACCGTAGCAGGTTCGACGCTTTTTCTACAATACGTAGACAATTTGTGGACAGTAAAAGTCGACCCGAACGTGGTATTGCAAGCCGCGAAAACATTGTACCCTAACAAACAATTCACGGTTGAATTACTTGATGAGAACTACATCTTGGTTTTTCAGACATAATTATTATTGTAGATGCAATCAAGCAATTTAAATGTACATGGTACCAAAAATTTTCAGATACAGGCAAGCTTTTTTTTTTCAGAAATAGCGCACTTTTTCAGAACATGAGGTTTTTAAAAATATATACGTTCCACACGGTTCTTGGGAGCAGATCTACATAAAAACCTAATCATTCAGCAAGGTAAATCAATTGAAAGCAATAGAAAAATAATCATTACCAAGTGGAATGGCCAACCAAAGTTGACCCGCAAATTGACCACTGCCCTTACCTACCTTAATTCGTCAATTTCGCGAAGTCTCAAGTCCAATATGGTCTACAAAGCCCAATGTAATTTCACCGATGTTGGACAAACTGTTTGACATTAGGCCACAAAGATTGATGACCACAAAAAAACATCCCGGTAGGCGAAAATGTAACACAGTGTGTGTGTGTGGCTGAATACACCAATGAACAGTTGAGTTAGGAGATAAGCGATCAGTCGAACAGCTAACATTGGAAGGGCTTCATTTAAGGAAACTAAAGCCAGGGATCAACACGCGGGATGAGTTTAGGAGAATTGATATCACACTGAAAACAAATTTAGCTGAAAAAGAAAAAGAACTTTCTTTTAGGTCGACCAAACCGAGCTCTCCTAAAGCAGAAAAAAGACTCTGTTTTGGCCAAAATTTCTGTGCAGTAGGGCACTTTTTGGAAAATTTATAAAAGTTGACAAAAAAATGCGTTTTTCTGGCGCCCGCTTCCCCTCAAAAAGTTATATGTAAGGTGGTGTATTGAACCCATGAAAGTTTCTAGTTGTTTGAAAGTAATGGGGGCGATAATTTTTTAATAGCTTCATTTTTCTTTATAAGTGGTTTGGTTCCTTCACTATTGATGTTGAAGCCTAACCACTCAACTTGTTTGCATGCAAACTTACATTTGTCTAGAGAGATTGCGAGGTTTTGTCCATCAAGTTTTGTTAGAACTGTTTGAAGTTTTTGGCGTTGTGTCTCTACATTACCTTTCGTTACAATCAAGATATCGTCCAGATATGCGTAAGTATTGCTGCAGTTAGCAAGTGTTAAATCGACTGCCTTCTGGAATTCTGCTGGCATATCCGTAAGGCCGTAGAAGCCTGTCCGGATTTGGTAGGTTCCGGTAGCATTACCGCCACTGAGGCTGAAATTAACTTGCTCTCTTGTTGCTTTATCTAACGGGTGTGCGTATCTTAAATCGAGTGTGGAGAAAATGTCCGATTTGACTTATCTGATTTCACCACTTGGGCGATGTTATCCAGGAGTAGGTCAATATTTGGCATTTGGTATTTGTTTTTGTATATGTATTTCTTGATCTTTTTGGAGTCTAGTGCCAGTTTAACTATTTGATTTTTTTTACTGTGATAACTATTGGTCTGATAAGTTGTTTATCAGAACATTTATCGAGCTTGATGATGTTTTTGATCCAACAATTTGATTAGTTCCGCTTCGATCCTTTCCTGTAGATGTAACGTCTGCCCTTTTGCTGTATTGGCTCGAACTCCTTGTTAAATTGTGTTTTCATTGCATGGTGTTTTGCCTTTCCTATGCGTACGCATAGCTGTTGGAAGTTATCCTGGACCCATTGTTTAATTTTGGGATTTGACTTGTTTTTTCTTGTACATTGAGTACCATGTGTGTTTGTTTTACTTGAATTAATTTAATACCAATTTATGGTAGTAGATTTCATCTTATGATATTTGCCTTGTGGTCATCCACTAAAATGAACGGAGCTTTATTTTCCATCCTCCCGACTCAATTGCGGTTATCAATCTGTCTTTCGGATGTATTGATTTGCCGTTTTAGCATGCTAGATTCCTAGCTGTGTCCTCCTGTGGGATATTTTTGAAAACTGCTGTTTGATCGTTCTGTTGTATTCGTTGTGCGGTTTTCTCGCTGAGAAAAGACACTGGGCTGCCCGAGTCAGCAAGATCGAATAGTTCCGTTGTATTTGGTTTTAGTTTAACAAAATGTCCATTTAGATCACCTTCCGATAGTTTTTTTGTTTTTTATTTCGAATGATTCTGCGATTGCCATCACTGAAAATCTGTCTATTTGATATTCTTCCTACCCATTGTTTGTGATAAAATCAGCATATGCGACGGGATCGTTGTCTGTTTCCGTGCTCTCTATTTCTGTTTCCTCCAGTTGTTCTTCGTTTGTGTTTCCCAAGTAGTTTACGTTTGTTGAGCGACAAACTTTTGCGAAGTGTCCGCGTTTTGCACATTTTGAGCAAATTTTGTCTTTTGCTGGACATGATTGCAGGTGATTGGGATCATATTGGTTCCCACACTTATAACATTGTCTGGATATTGTGTTTCGTTGTTGTTGTTGACCCTTTGTGTTCTGGGATCCACCTGGATACGGTCGGCCGCGAAAACCGCCCCGACCTCTCTGACTGTTTTGATTGTTTTGTTCGTTTTGTCTGCCACGTGTATTAACGTAATGTACCGGCTCTTGTTTTGTAATCAATGTTTGACCTCCGAACGGATTTGTTCTCATAGTACGACCTTGTTCTCGTCGTATCGAGTATTCGTATGCATCTTGTGGGCTACCTGTTTGTGCCAGCAATTCTTCAGCAATTTTTTCATTGTTCATGTGGGCGATAAACATATCTCTTACCCACTCATCCTCTCTGTCACCGCAGTCAGCGCGTGAGGCCAGTTCCACTAGATCTGCATGAAATTATTCTAGACTTTCTGCTTTCTTCTGTTTCCGACAGATAAAGTTATACCTCTCAAAAGCTATTATGCGCGTAGTGACGAAAATGTCTTCATGTTGTCACGAATTTTATTGTAGTTACCGTATGTAGCTGTCAGTTTGGTCGTTTTTGTTGTATCTGTCGCTGTCTTTCAGCGCCGAGACACAGGAAAAGATAGCTACGCACTTTTGCGTCCGCTTCGTCCCATCTGAATGAGTTATACAGGACTCCTTTTTCGCGCGCTTTAATCACGTGGTTTTTCCAGCCCACTCGTTTTTCTTGATTATGCACGTCGCGGTTCTTTTTCTGTGCCTCCGTTTTGCCTAAAATCTTGACCTCGTATATTGGTTCGGATGGCTCTACTAGTGGTGGTTTTTCTTGCAGTAGATTTCGGATTTTCGATGCCGTTTTTCGCCAATATTGCCATCTCCAGTATTGCCGCCAATTTGGTCCACTGCAATGGTGGTTCGGCTGATGCTCTTTCCCAGAATAGGTTTTTGTTAAGCGGATTCTTCGAAAATCCTGGTGGCTGCTCCATGTCATACCGCTAGGTCCTCAAGGTATTATTTGCTAATTCCTGAATCCTTCTGGATAGATAATGATGATCTCTTGAGAGAGAGAGAGAGAGAGAGAGAGGGAAGTTAAAACAACTATTTAATGTTAACGTTAATTCTCTTTCTGAACCGTAGTTTACTTTAGCCGTAATCCTCGTCCTCACTATCAAGGTCATATTAACCAGTTCATATTAACGTTACATAATAGCAAAACATAAATAATGTATAAATACATAATACGTTTCGTGTGGAGTTTTATCTATTCAACCCGGAAACCGGGAAGCCTTAGTGGTCAGTGAAACCGGATTTGAGGGTACCGGCATAAATTCATCCACCACAACCGTAAAGAAAAGAAGGGGAACACAAAGGTTTTCGGCGTCCTTTTCTTAACTCCTTGCAGCCATAGGCATAGGCGCAAGCGGGCAGTCGCGTAGAAGTCAATGAGATCGGACGAGCAATAAAAGCCACCATCAAGGCTGCAGGAAAGGACAGGTAATGGCATATTCTCTCCGACTATGCGCCTACATCCAAGCCACAGGAAAGGAATGTCGAACAGTTCTATGAATAGGTGAGCAAACTACTTTGAAATATCCCAGACCAACAGTTGATATGGATATGTAATGACTTCAGCAGCAGACTCAAAAATTGTGACGAGGAAAAGGAAAACTCCATATTGGGATAATTTGGTCTTCAATTATTACGCTGCAACCACATGGGGGACCGTATGAGCCTGTTCTCTATGCTAAAGAGTTGAGAATAAACTACACCTTGTTGAGATCAACCCTACGAAAAACAGCACCCTGGTTCCAACCCGCAGGAAGACATCGAGCATGCTAGACTTGTCGTTAGTAAAATAAGCGCAGGCAAGAAAAGTCGCATACAACAGCAATGCAAGACATAGACATTGACACCGATAACTACCGCGTTTCAACTGTGATCCGGAAGTTTCCACTACAATCTATGTGACCCAGCGACCATCTGCGCACAACAGACCGCAACAGTGCACATACAATTACTCCCAATGCGAGGATTTGAAAATTGAAGAACCTCAATGATGAGACCTAAGAAAATAAACATAGCCTCACTCAAGAACCAAGCAACAAATAAGAGCTATGTAACGGCTGTCACCGAAATCTGACAAGCATGCCTGAAATGCCATCAACCCAACTGATCACCAACATCATCTGCGACTGCGCAGAAATCGAAATAGGTGTTGTACACCCATAAATACAAACATGGTACAAACACCCATAAATACAAAATTGCGAAAATGATTATTTATGATTATTTTTCACAATTTACTTTTTCTGGAAAAAAAACCTTTAAACTGTGCAAATATTGTGAAAATGCGCCGCAATGCAAATTGAATCGATGAAGAAGTATGGTACTTTAAGATGCACCGAGTTTTTATGTTTCAATTTATCCGATCGATCAGTTTATTCAATCGTTCCCGTTTATCCAATCAGCAAATGAAAAAAGCATGGTATCAATTCTCAGAATTACTTTAACCGTATAAAATTTGAAATTAAAATTTAGGGTTGTTTGTATTCTGTCAAAAAAGTTTCTTTTCCCTAAATGGGTGTCTCTCAATTGAACTTTGATTTCAAATTCGGCATTTTAATTCTTGTTTTAACGTATATTCCATCAGTTTTTTGTTTAAAGGAACACTTTGGAAACTTCGGTCATTATCAATTGAACCGTCATAAGCTTTGCGTATTGATTGTTTCAGACTTTCATGTTGGTGTCTATCCTCGCGTTATACCACGGCCTAATATTCTTACCAGTGGCTCTCAGCATCATTGGACCACCTCCCTATCTCTCGGCCTCCAAGGAGAACACAGAGGTTTGCTCTTTGAATAATTTGTACACGTGAACAACCAATATCATTCAAGGATTCAATGAAAAACAAGGTCAATGAAAACGAACGAGAAAAAAAATGTTTTCACCAACCAGATTTGTCTCAGCAAGTTTTAAAACAAAAACTATGACAAATTTGGTTGATGAAAACAATTTTTCTAGCTTTTTGCTTTTCATTGACTCAGTTCAAGTTAGTTATGTAGTGTTCTATTCACTTTTTGTAGGTTTGCAAGGAGCATTCGAATCATCGTGCTATGCCAGCCGAGAAACAGGTTAGTCAGAGATGCTAAATGTTTTGTAATGGAAAGATGCGATATTTTGTAGGTCTGTGAAAGAGGTTACTGACAAATTTTGAGCTCCAATGAAAGTTTGGAGCATCCAGCAGCTTGTAAATTATCAATCGTTATGTAAGAAAAATGGGTTCAGAATGAATGTATTTTTAGAGACTGTCAAGTAAGCTACAGATTCGATCATGCTGTTTTGATGAACAAAAAGAAAAAAAGTTGTGGCCAATTAATAATAGTTAGAAAATAAGTCACTTACTTAAGTGATTTTTGTGCGGTTAAAACAAATTTTTTTTTAAATAGTCAGCTTAGGTTGACAACAATTTTCTAGCTTGAAGCAGCAATGCTATTTTGGAGCAAAAAAATATATATCGCTCAATACGCATTTTTAGAAGGAGATGAAGACAGTTAATTTGGGAAGGACTTCAAAAAAATGTTTTCATTTGGATCTGATCTTAGTAATCCGTTCTAAACTGAAATGTGTTTTTAGAAAGAAAACAACAAACCTCACGAAGCCTGGACAGTTGCAGTGAACGAAAAACCATAACCAACAAAAATGACGTTCAGATTTAGTGGCATATTCTGGAAACAATTTAAGTACAGTTTTTAACTCATTCTGCCCAAAATTGCTTATTATTTACTAATTAAACGGTTTATTCTAATAATTTTTTAGCTGCATGTTCAAAATCAGTCAGTTAGAGTTGAGTGTCTTCATTAAGTTGAATTTTGTCTGAAAGCTTGGTAGAAACAAAAAAGGTCGTTTTTTATCCTTACGAGGTCAAACTGTGCAACGATGTGCGCACATTTTTGTGTCTGTATGTTACTGGATTCCGGAGACGAATCTTTAGAAACGTTAAAAGTTTGTAGGAACGATCAAGGGAAATGAAAAAACAAAGGAAGAACAGAGTTAGCGCCATTGCTGCGTATTTCGCGCTTACAATTCACAAAATGCACAGTTTGGCCTCGTAGTGATAGAATTTCGCCAATGTAGGTTTTCCAAAACTAAATTTTAACTTGAGTTTATCAAAACACTTGTCTTTACAAATAACCTATGAGCCAACAAGTTTACCGGTGCACTTCACAGTGCGTACCCACAGAGCTGCATTCCCCGAAAGCAGAAAAAAACTTGAAAAACTTTAAGGTAATCAGCAACAAAACAGAACATAAAAAAGAGGCAAAGTTGTCACAAAATTAGGACTATTCTTCGTATTTTTTTTTGAAATTAAGCAAAGAAAACTTCCAATAATTCAAAGCAACTTCTTTATATAACAGCTTCGCTCTTATGAACTAGTCAACAAAAAAGGGCTATCCTAGAACAAAATTACACTTTGTTTTAGCAATTCGAAGCATCGATATATTTGTGCTTGAATTGATTGAATTTATCAAAACAATTGTCCCCCAAACAAATTTTTACATCAATAAAAATTCCTCTTCACTTCACTGTGCGTTTCCACAGAGCCGCATTCCCGGATAGCAGAAAAACATAACTTGTTTAGGTAATTAGCAAAAACAAAACACAAATTTAGAGGCAATTTGTCACAGAAGTTGGACTACTTTAATTCATACAATCAAATTATCTTTTTTTTTCGAAACTATTGTACTGCAAGCTTCTCAATGAAAGATTGTGAACCTACCGTAGCAGGTTCGACGCTTTTTCTACAATACGTAGACAATTTGTGGACAGTAAAAGTCGACCCGAACGTGGTATTGCAAGCCGCGAAAACATTGTACCCTAACAAACAATTCACGGTTGAATTACTTGATGAGAACTACATCTTGGTTTTTCAGACATAATTATTATTGTAGATGCAATCAAGCAATTTAAATGTACATGGTACCAAAAATTTTCAGATACAGGCAAGCTTTTTTTTTTCAGAAATAGCGCACTTTTTCAGAACATGAGGTTTTTAAAAATATATACGTTCCACACGGTTCTTGGGAGCAGATCTACATGAAAACCTAATCATTCAGCAAGGTAAATCAATTGAAAGCAATAGAAAAATAATCATTACCAAGTGGAATGGCCAACCAAAGTTGACCCGCAAATTGACCACTGCCCTTACCTACCTTAATTCGTCAATTTCGCGAAGTCTCAAGTCCAATATGGTCTACAAAGCCCAATGTAATTTCACCGATGTTGGACAAACTGTTTGACATTAGGCCACAAAGATTGATGACCACAAAAAAACATCCCGGTAGGCGAAAATGTAACACAGTGTGTGTGTGTGGCTGAATACACCAATGAACAGTTGAGTTAGGAGATAAGCGATCAGTCGAACAGCTAACATTGGAAGGGCTTCATTTAAGGAAACTAAAGCCAGGGATCAACACGCGGGATGAGTTTAGGAGAATTGATATCACACTGAAAACAAATTTAGCTGAAAAAGAAAAAGAACTTTCTTTTAGGTCGACCAAACCGAGCTCTCCTAAAGCAGAAAAAAGACTCTGTTTTGGCCAAAATTTCTGTGCAGTAGGGCACTTTTTGGAAAATTTATAAAAGTTGACAAAAAAATGCGTTTTTCTGGCGCTCGCTTCCCCTCAAAAAGTTATATGTAAGGTGGTGTATTGAACCCATGAAAGTTTCTAGTTGTTTGAAAGTAATGGGGGCGATAATTTTTTAATAGCTTCATTTTTCTTTATAAGTGGTTTGGTTCCTTCACTATTGATGTTGAAGCCTAACCACTCAACTTGTTTGCATGCAAACTTACATTTGTCTAGAGAGATTGCGAGGTTTTGTCCATCAAGTTTTGTTAGAACTGTTTGAAGTTTTTGGCGTTGTGTCTCTACATTACCTTTCGTTACAATCAAGATATCGTCCAGATATGCGTAAGTATTGCTGCAGTTAGCAAGTGTTAAATCGACTGCCTTCTGGAATTCTGCTGGCATATCCGTAAGGCCGTAGAAGCCTGTCCGGATTTGGTAGGTTCCGGTAGCATTACCGCCACTGAGGCTGAAATTAACTTGCTCTCTTGTTGCTTTATCTAACGGGTGTGCGTATCTTAAATCGAGTGTGGAGAAAATGTCCGATTTGACTTATCTGATTTCACCACTTGGGCGATGTTATCCAGGAGTAGGTCAATATTTGGCATTTGGTATTTGTTTTTGTATATGTATTTCTTGATCTTTTTGGAGTCTAGTGCCAGTTTAACTATTTGATTTTTTTTACTGTGATAACTATTGGTCTGATAAGTTGTTTATCAGAACATTTATCGAGCTTGATGATGTTTTTGATCCAACAATTTGATTAGTTCCGCTTCGATCCTTTCCTGTAGATGTAACGTCTGCCCTTTTGCTGTATTGGCTCGAACTCCTTGTTAAATTGTGTTTTCATTGCATGGTGTTTTGCCTTTCCTATGCGTACGCATAGCTGTTGGAAGTTATCCTGGACCCATTGTTTAATTTTGGGATTTGACTTGTTTTTTTCTTGTACATTGAGTACCATGTGTGTTTGTTTTACTTGAATTAATTTAATACCAATTTATGGTAGTAGATTTCATCTTATGATATTTGCCTTGTGGTCATCCACTAAAATGAACGGAGCTTTATTTTCCATCCTCCCGACTCAATTGCGGTTATCAATCTGTCTTTCGGATGTATTGATTTGCCGTTTTAGCATGCTAGATTCCTAGCTGTGTCCTCCTGTGGGATATTTTTGAAAACTGCTGTTTGATCGTTCTGTTGTATTCGTTGTGCGGTTTTCTCGCTGAGAAAAGACACTGGGCTGCCCGAGTCAGCAAGATCGAATAGTTCCGTTGTATTTGGTTTTAGTTTAACAAAATGTCCATTTAGATCACCTTCCGATAGTTTTTTTGTTTTTTATTTCGAATGATTCTGCGATTGCCATCACTGAAAATCTGTCTATTTGATATTCTTCCTACCCATTGTTTGTGATAAAATCAGCATATGCGACGGGATCGTTGTCTGTTTCCGTGCTCTCTATTTCTGTTTCCTCCAGTTGTTCTTCGTTTGTGTTTCCCAAGTAGTTTACGTTTGTTGAGCGACAAACTTTTGCGAAGTGTCCGCGTTTTGCACATTTTGAGCAAATTTTGTCTTTTGCTGGACATGATTGCAGGTGATTGGGATCATATTGGTTCCCACACTTATAACATTGTCTGGATATTGTGTTTCGTTGTTGTTGTTGACCCTTTGTGTTCTGGGATCCACCTGGATACGGTCGGCCGCGAAAACCGCCCCGACCTCTCTGACTGTTTTGATTGTTTTGTTCGTTTTGTCTGCCACGTGTATTAACGTAATGTACCGGCTCTTGTTTTGTAATCAATGTTTGACCTCCGAACGGATTTGTTCTCATAGTACGACCTTGTTCTCGTCGTATCGAGTATTCGTATGCATCTTGTGGGCTACCTGTTTGTGCCAGCAATTCTTCAGCAATTTTTTCATTGTTCATGTGGGCGATAAACATATCTCTTACCCACTCATCCTCTCTGTCACCGCAGTCAGCGCGTGAGGCCAGTTCCACTAGATCTGCATGAAATTATTCTAGACTTTCTGCTTTCTTCTGTTTCCGACAGATAAAGTTATACCTCTCAAAAGCTATTATGCGCGTAGTGACGAAAATGTCTTCATGTTGTCACGAATTTTATTGTAGTTACCGTATGTAGCTGTCAGTTTGGTCGTTTTTGTTGTATCTGTCGCTGTCTTTCAGCGCCGAGACACAGGAAAAGATAGCTACGCACTTTTGCGTCCGCTTCGTCCCATCTGAATGAGTTATACAGGACTCCTTTTTCGCGCGCTTTAATCACGTGGTTTTTCCAGCCCACTCGTTTTTCTTGATTATGCACGTCGCGGTTCTTTTTCTGTGCCTCCGTTTTGCCTAAAATCTTGACCTCGTATATTGGTTCGGATGGCTCTACTAGTGGTGGTTTTTCTTGCAGTAGATTTCGGATTTTCGATGCCGTTTTTCGCCAATATTGCCATCTCCAGTATTGCCGCCAATTTGGTCCACTGCAATGGTGGTTCGGCTGATGCTCTTTCCCAGAATAGGTTTTTGTTAAGCGGATTCTTCGAAAATCCTGGTGGCTGCTCCATGTCATACCGCTAGGTCATCAAGGTATTATTTGCTAATTCCTGAATCCTTCTGGATAGATAATGATGATCTCTTGAGAGAGAGAGAGAGAGAGAGAGGGAAGTTAAAACAACTATTTAATGTTAACGTTAATTCTCTTTCTGAACCGTAGTTTACTTTAGCCGTAATCCTCGTCCTCACTATCAAGGTCATATTAACCAGTTCATATTAACGTTACATAATAGCAAAACATAAATAATGTATAAATACATAATACGTTTCGTGTGGAGTTTTATCTATTCAACCCGGAAACCGGGAAGCCTTAGTGGTCAGTGAAACCGGATTTGAGGGTACCGGCATAAATTCATCCACCACAACCGTAAAGAAAAGAAGGGGAACACAAAGGTTTTCGGCGTCCTTTTCTTAACTCCTTGCAGCCATAGGCATAGGCGCAAGCGGGCAGTCGCGTAGAAGTCAATGAGATCGGACGAGCAATAAAAGCCACCATCAAGGCTGCAGGAAAGGACAGGTAATGGCATATTTTCTCCGACTATGCGCCTAC